AGAACTTAGCCCAAATGTCAAAGCTTCTAATTGCTTCCAAAGGTGTGAAACAACCTTTACCAAACCTCAAGTATCAGAAGCTTGTGGAAGTAACTTGTAGCCAGCTAACAGCTCCACTATACAATTTTATGGTAGTGATGCAAAAGGTAAAGGCTTCGGAAACTCTTGTTTAAGCTAAAGCTTCACTTCTTTTGTTCAAATGGTTGTTTATTCTACCTGCTTGACTTGTAGAAACAACTGGAGAGCACGAAATCTAAAGCACTCGTCAATAAAATCAAAAGGGAGAACAGATGCATCCCCGACTTGATATACCAAATAGAAGATTATGAGAAATATCTCATACAAATTAGCAAGGCTACAAAAATAAATTTGCTGAGGCATGCAAAACGAAGCACCTCCAGGGACTTCAAGATAATAGAGCCGCAAAGTTTTTCCGTAGAGGAAGGTGCTGGAAGCCAAGATGCAGATGATAATGATGCAGCACGAGGTGAGAATGAAGAGGACCCTCGTGATGAAGAAGGAAATGGAGCAGAAGACGAATCAGTGGTTGGTGCTGAAGATGATGATGAAGGAAATGAAGTGGAAGATGCATTAATGGCTGCTTACGATAGTCCACCAGCAGTAGAGGCTTCTGAGTCTGAGGACGAGGGTGAACCTGATCTTCCTAAGACAAAGAGAGCAAAAATGACGAGGGTTGTTGAGGACTCGGATGAAGAAGCATAAAAGAGGCAGAGTTGCCAAATTTGTAAAGCTGTGAGATGTGGTCTGGAAACTAGGATTCATGTAAATATGAAGAAATAGTTTGAAGTTTTTTCGTCTTTCGAAGATGGCAGCTAGCACTCCAGTTTGCAAATCCGTTTTGTAGTAGCCTTTTGGAAATTTCGTTGTAATTGAGGTGAAGAAAAATGTATTTGATTGTGTATATCCAGTTTCACTTTTTGTGCATGAGAAGTTTGGATATATAGTGACTTGCAACTAACGTAATCCTAGGGGAAGGTGTAATCCTTGAAGTGATAGTTACGTTTCAACAAGAATTTTTAATTCCAAATGTGAACATTTCTTTTTGTTATAAATATATTATATTATGAATGTTCATTTAGTATTCCGTTGTAAATAAGTTTCCTGAAGAAGCTTATCCATATGGGACTCCACTGTAAATATGTTTATCTATTTAAGTACTCTATTGGAAATAAGCTTCCTGAAGAAGCTTATCACTTCGATACCCGGTTATGGATAAACATTACCTCCGGTAGAAGATTATCCATACCGGGTATAATAAGCTTATCCTTTCAGTACTCCGTTATGGATAAACATTGCTCTCAGTAGAAGATTATCCATATCTGGTATAGTAGCAGCTTACACAGCAGCTTCCTTTCTTCTATAAATAGAAGAGATTTCAGTTCATTATGTACATCAGTTTGAATTCGAATAATATATCAGTAACTCTCTATACTTGTCTTTACTTTATAGTCTTTATTTTATAACACGTTATCAGCACGAGACTCTGCCATCTCGAGCAAATATTTTGAAAGTATCTGAGGTAAGAACTTTCTTTTCCTAAATAATGTCAAATCTTTCTAAACTTGAATTTGTAGCCCTGGATATATCGGGCAAAAGCTACATGTCTTGGGTGCTTGATGCTGAAATTCATCTTGATGCGATGGGTCTGGCAGACACCATCAAAGACAAAAATCAGGCATCAAACCAAGACCGTGCCAAAGCAATGATATTCCTACGCCATCACCTTGATGAGGGCCTGAAAATGGAATATCTTACTGTTAAAGATCCAGTCATACTGTGGAATAATTTGAAAGATAGATATGACCACCTGAAGATGGTCGTTCTTCCACAGGCACGTTATGATTGGACTCATCTAAGGCTACAAGATTTTAAATCTATCAGTGAGTATAATTCTGCTATGTTCAGAATTATTTCCCAATTGAAGTTATGTGGTGATAATATTACTGATCATGATATGTTGGAGAAAACTTTCACCACTTTTCATGCCTCGAATATGCTCCTGCAGCAGCAATATCGGGAGATGGGATTTAAAAAGTATTCTGAACTTGTCTCACATCTTCTTATAGC